GGGGGGGGATGTGGGTGGGGCACAGCGAGGTACCGGGCACGAGCCACAGTGGCAGGGCCCATTCTCCATGCAGGGCACAGGGCCTCCACGGGGCAGCGAGGTAGAGGGCCTAGCACTCGACGCAAACGATGCCGGGCTGTGGTGCCGGGCGCGGTCCGGCATGTGCCTTGGCACGGGGCATCGGGCCGCTGACTGGTTCCTAGGCTACGATGCGACTCCCACCCTGTCCCCTCGCACCATGCAGCCGCCCAACAGCCCGAGCTCCCATGCCCCCCTCCCTCCAGTCGAGGGCGGCACAATCACCCACCCACCCACCCACCTGCACGTGCGCGCCGGCGGCGACGGCCTGCGCCGCCGCCGCCCCCGCCGCGCCCAGCTCCCCCGCCAGCCGCGCGCGGTCGGCGGGTGCCAGCGCCAGCGCCTCGTCCCCGCGCTCGGCCAGGTCGGCGGCGGCCGCGGCGGCCTCCTCCTCCGTCAGACGCTCCACGCCGGCGCAGCGCAGCGCGGCGTCGACCCCCGCCGCCCCCTGCGTGCGCAGGAGGTGCCGCTCCGTGGCCGTGGCCGCGGCCTCGTCGGCCGCCAGCACGGCGCGGGCATGCGCGGCGGCCAGTCCCAGCCGCTCGTAGGCGGCCTGCAGGGCGGCGGCCGCGGCCTCGCGCAGCGTGCGCCGCCGCTCCGCGCCCGAGGCGCGCAGCGCTGCCAGTGCCTCCTCGCGCGCGGCCAGCGCCGCGCGCCGAAGCGCCGGCGCCAGCGCGGCCAGCAGCCCCTCGCCGTGCACGAGGTCTGGGTGGGCGCGGGCGGCGCCCTCAGTCAACGCCGCCTCGGAGAGCGAGGGTGGGTCGGCGGGAGGAAGAGGGACCGCCCTGGCCTTGGCCCGGGCGTCGGGCGCCTCCTTCGCCTTGGCTCCCCCCCCGGCCTCTTCCCGCCAGCCTTGCCCTTCTTGGGCCCCTTGCGCCGCGCGGCGGCCGAGGTGCCCCAGTCATCGTCCTCGGAGGAGTCGGCGCGCTGCGGCGCTGCTTGCTTGCCCTGCTTCCCTCCCCCACCACCGCCGCCGCGCGGCGCGGGCGTCGGCGCCTCGCCCTGCGAGGCCCTCGGCACGGGCTCGGCCGCCGCACGCCGCCCCGCCAGCTCCGCCTCGGCCGTCAGCGCGGCGACCAGCGCCTCCGACACCACCGTGCAGCCCGTGGCGACGCTCAGCGAGGGAAACTTGGAGGTGGAGCGCAGCACCAGCTCCTCCGCGTCCTCCTCGGGGAGGGCGGGAGGCAGGAGGGGCCGCGCGTCCAGCCTGGCAGGGGGTTGGGTGGGGGGCTCCGGTGAGTGGGAGGGTGGGGTCACGGTGTGTATGACGAGTGGAAGAGCGTGGACTGCGCCCGGGGGACAGAGGATCGTGTCCCCGAAATCCTGTGCGCGGCAGCATGGGGATGCCCCCTCCTCTCAGACGCTGTCCAGGCGGACCGAAGGGTCGGCGTACCAAGCACACTCGCCCTGTACCCCGGGCCACCAGGCGCACCCCTCACCAACTGCCCTCCGCCAGCGTCTCCTCCATGGCTGCCTCCAGCTGGTGCAGCAGCTGGTGGGAGGCGTACGAGTGCTCCAGGGCCACCCCACCCCCCAGCTCTCGGGCGGCCCAGTTCTTCGGGTCTTGCGTGGTGAAGCGCTTGGCCTGGACGAGGGTGGTCGGGCATTCTCGTGGATGGATGTCAGTCGGGGTGGGTGAGTGCTAGGACACAGCGCAGCAGCGCCGGCGGGGGCAGGGCAATGGGGATTCTGGTGAAGGCGGCGGGCGCGACCGACTGCCGTCTGGTACGGGCAGGGGGACCATCGTTCCTCTGTGGCGGAGAGAGCGCGCTCGGGCACAACCCAGCAGGAACCCGGCCATGCAGCAGCATCTGGAGGACCAAGCCACCCGCACACTCACCGTGGACCAGTCGAGGAACCCGTTCTCGGCAAAGGACTGGCGCGCCTGCTGCACCTGCGTCGCCACAAAGGCGGCCGGGATCCAGGTGGTGGCGCCCCCCGCCAGCGAGCCGTGCACGGCACCTGAGCGTGGGGTGGTGGGGGCAGCTCAGTCGCCCCGCAGAAGCCCTTCCCCGTCTGGGCTTGGCGGGGGAGTCACCCGGCCCCTCGCCAACACTGGCCCCCGTCGCACCCACCCTCGGCGACGAGCTGCTCCACCAGACCCGGGACGAGGGACTGGAGGAACGGCGTCCCGCCCAGGTCCAGAGAGGAAAGCAGGGCGGGCACGCCGATCGGGACCGTGGACCCCCGCAGCGCGCCTCGCAGCTGTGCCTGGAGGGCGGGCGGGGGTGGGCGAGGGTGGAGCGGAGGGGGTCGACCTGCTTCCAGGCGACCTGCGCAACCCCTGGCAGCTCTGGCGCTGCCAGGACGCCTTCTCCGCAAGCGATGGTCGTGCCAGCGAGCGCCTCGCATGATCGGGCCCCAGCCACGCAGCCTCGCACCTTAAGGCGGACTGTGAGCGCTTGTGTGTAAAGGTAGCCCCCCTCCAGGCGGGCACGGACATCGCGACCCAGGTGCGGACGAAGCTGGATCAGGAGGAGGTCCGAGGCGAGGCCAAACCTCTGTGCCAGGTCGCCTGCGACGGGCGGGGGCATCGGTCGATGCTTTGGCCCTGCAGGCGCAGGCAGAGCAAGGCGGAAGCAGGCGGGGCCCCTCCAGGCTCAATGGCCCAGCTGTGCTCCAGGCAGCTGTCACCCCAGCTTGACCCTCCCCTCCCCCTTGGGTAAACCACTTGACGCACCGACGGGCGCCATGCCCTGCTCTTCCAGGACTTCATCCACCTCGGCGGCGAGGTCGTCAAAGTACTCCCGTGCAAAGAGCTCATCCTGGGCGAGCAGAATGTCGTGGGCGCCTGCGCCCGCAGCCGCCTGCCTGGCAGCCTCCTGGCAGTGCAGCAGATCCACCCCCAGAGCGGCAGGCAGGTCGACCTGTGAGTGGGCCGGGATGGACCCGGTCATTCGCATCGGGGGAGGTCCAGGACGCCATGCGCGGTTCTCTGTGCCCAGCCCAGGAAAGGCTGGCGCCGACAGGGATCTAGGGCATCACGCAGGGCCGTGCAGGGCACATGGTCAAGGTCGGCAGGCAAGGCGCAGACTGGGAGGGCTCACCAGCGGGACGCGGCGAGATGCGCGGGCGGTTGACAGCACCTTGCGCGTCAGGGCATCGCGGGTAATGTACTCCCTGCCGTTGGAGGTGTGGAGCAGGTCGTCGCCGATCAGGCCCATCCCCTTCAGCTTGTTCACCAGCTCCACGACGTTCCGCTCAGAGAGGCGCACCTGTGCGGAGTGTCGTCCTCGGCGTGTGATAGAGCCGTGGGAAAATCAGCCATGCAGAAGCGTGTCCCAATTCGACCATTGGATCAGCGATCCCTCCCCCCCCGACCAGACAAGTTGCAGAATCTTCCATCACCTCTGTCTTCTTTGTTTGCACATCCTCCAGCCCCTGAAGCAGGTCCAGGAGGGAAGGCTCCTCCATAGCTCCGGCTGGAGACCGGGGAGAATATCCAAGACTACTGCTGGTGCATTTGCAGTCCGTTTTTAACCATTAAATAGAAGCGATCGCCATGATTACCTGCTTCGGCGGGCTTATGTTGGACTTTGTCGCGACATTGATCGAACCTGGCGCCGCAGCACGCCCGGCACGCTCCGACACACCACTCGCAAAGGCTTTAGTATGCGAGCCGGCACTTCAGGGGTGCTATCTTGGCGTGTTACATGTGATCTTGGGGGTTGAAGAGCATCGTAGGTCAGGTCTGGGGCGCGAAGTGGGGTGCAGACGGGGCTGTCCCCATGGCCCCACCCAAGTCTGCCGCCGAGCTGGCGCTCGAACGTAAATACGAGGCCATTCGCATGAAGAAACAGGTGAATAAGCCTCCAAGTTGCTGGAGACGGGCATTGGGCCGTCATGGAACTCCTAGTGCGACGCCGTCACCCCCATCTGACCTCATTGGGCCCTCCCCACCCGGTCGCAGGGTGGCGCTTCGACTGGGGCACCAGACGCGCCGCAGGGTGAGTTCCGCGTATCCATACCCGGAATAGATCCCTGGGTGTGCATGCGGTACTCAACGAAGAGTCTCCGTGCCCGCTTCACCCTCACACACGAGCACCCCACTCCGCAGCCCAACCTCCATCAAATCCGGGGAGGGATGCTGCCCTGAGAGCACTCCAGAGTCAGCAGCGGGCCGCACCAGCCGCTGCACAGCCCACCCCCGCCAGGAAACTGGCGCGGTTGGATGGCGGCGCCGGGGACGCCGCCGGCCAGCGCCCCCAACCGAGGGCAGCGCCCGTGCCGCGCAGTTACCCAGGCGTCGCGACGGCGGGGAGGGCGGCGGCTCAGGCCCAGCCCCCAGCACGGCCCCTCCCGCCCTCACGCAGGGTACCGTTCTTCCACGATGGACCCCAGGGCCGCGCTGACCACGACCGGTGAGCCCCTGGGCAGGTCCGAGATGTGCTGGGATGCAGCATCCTTGACTTGGTAGCCCCGCGGATGGGGATGCATTTGTGGGATCCTCACTCATCCCTCCTGTGCTGCTCCTCTGCCTCCACTCAAAACCGCCCCAATCTGGCTGGGCCGTCGTCCAGACATGCCGATGGGCAGGACCCCCCCTCACGAAACACGTCGGATCGCCCTGGGACTATGGATGCCCCTGCGCCGTCCGGCGCCACGCTCTTTGTCGGGGACCTCCCCATGCACTGGACGCGGGCACACCTCCACGAGTTCTTCGAGCAGGTCTGAGACGTGGTTCGAGGGGGTCGGGCCGCAACCAGGCCCCACATGCTCGACAAGCTTTGCGCCCCTGAGCGCTGCGTTGTGGAAATGTGCTGCCGTCTGGGCCTCCTGCCTCATCTGATCAGCCGACGCATGGGCCGCCCCATTCCCACCCCGGCACCACAACTCCATACCTGCCCCAGCATGCGGAGGTCGTGGAGACGCGGGTGATAGGCGTGCAGGGGTACGGCTTCGTGACGTTTGCCCGAGTAGAGGACGGCTGCTCGCTCATGGAGGTGGCCTCCAGCTCCCCACTTATCGCGCCGGACGGCACCGTGCTGCGGGTGAACTGGGCGCGGGGGGCCATGCCGGAATGGAAAAAGGGGCAGGGCCCAGGCGGCGCCCCTGTGGAGCACCCACGCGTCCGGTGGGCCAGGTGGAGAGGGGCCCATGCAGATGCCATGCCTCGGCCGGAGCCTGCTGAATGGTGTGCAGGCCGACCTCCTACACGACATTCCCATGTCCAAACACCCCAGGGAGGCACGTGCGGCTGCGCAGGAGGTGGTGTCTGCCATCGACGACGAGGCGCTGGCGGAGGCCAACCTGCATGCCCCTGTGCCCCAGCGGCCGCTCGTGTGCTACGACGACATCTGAGCGGGTCAGATCGCCCCCAAGGTTGCCAAACAGCCACCCTCTGCCAGGGGTGGGGCGGAATGAGCTGCTCCTGTCAGCCGTCGAGAAGGACTCCGAGGCATCCTCCTTCTTTCCCGCAACCCACTGGCATTCTCTTCACATATGCGCCATTTTGGTCTGGGTTTGTATGCTGCACCCCGAGCTGTGTCCGGCAGGGTCCAACTGATGAGAAGCGGCAGGGCGGGGGAGTACTGCAGCAGCTCGAGCACGGTACAGCCCATTTACATGGCTTCAGAAACTCAGAAGGCCCCTCAACTCCATGTGACGCTCGCGCATGTGAGGCGGGAACCGGACACGCAGTGGCTGTCGTATCGGTCAGGGCGTGTTGCCCCCGGAGGAAGCGTGCCTTGCGCGAGATGGAAAGGATCATGTGGATGCCATGAGATACCAAGGAGAAGTTTACGTTAGATGGGTTTCGCAAAACATTCATGGCACGCAAGCATATCGCAGAACACTTGGTTGTTACTGTCCCAACCCCCGCGCTATCGCGTCTGTCCACCCTCCAAATTCGTGGTCCGGTCGGAATACTTGAGGGAGTTGTGAAGTGAAGATTCACAGCGGTAGACCCGGGACCACCAGTTTGTGGATGAAATAGGTCAGGCCAGATCGGCATTGCAAGGCATGCTGGCCATTGTAACAGCAGTTCTCCCACATCCCTGGCTAGACTGACCATCCGCGGATCGCGGCGAGTGGCGTAGAGTATAGCGCGATGGCAACCTGCGCTACCTTGGTCCCGCCCAGGAAACGCCAGGCCGCCGATGACTTCGACTGCACCGAGGCAAGCATCGCATCCAAGCGCATGGTGAGTGCTGGACGGGGAAATGCCTGTCGCCGTCCTTGCGCATACAGGCAGACCCAGAAGGCGACCCAGCGGCCCAACCCATCACCCGCAGCGCGATCGCAAGCCGTCCCCTCCATCACGGCGACCGGTCGGCACAGTGTTGACGTGCTGCCCACCCGACTCCCCCAGCGCACCTTTGACTCCGCACACTCACACAGCGCGATCGGGCAGCGCCCTGTATGGTCGGATCCGGCGATGGCTGACGGTAGGATTGTGCACGACGGGGAGAACCCGCTCATGCGTGGTCCGGGCGGGTCGTTTCTTTGAAGTCGTGCATGGCTACGGTGCGACAGCGCTGTCGCAGCCGGAGACTGGGAACCAGCAAAGCCTTCCCAGTTTCTTGCTGGGCCCAAATCTTGGCATGCCATCAGCAGCTCCCCTACCCACAAACCCCATCATCAGGAGTGGCGCAAGCAGCTGCTAGGGTGCTACCCACACATCTCCATCGACGACTGTGTCTTGGAGGGGGTGCTCAAGATCATCAGCGCCCTGACCCAGGCTGTGCCAGACTTATCCACGATCTTGGCCAGAGACACACACTCTCTCACGCTATACTGCGCAGCCGCCACATGGTTGGCCTGCAAGGTTGACTCCCTGCGACCATGTGGGTGGCTCCTGGCAGGGTGAAGGGGGGCCAGGGCATGTGGACATCTTGCTGCCGACCACCACCTCCCAAGCTGGACCCACGCATGCAAATGCCTGAACCCAATGCTCTGGCCTGCATAACACTACTTGACGTGACATGTCACATCCATCCCCCCCCTCCACTCCACCCTCAAACAGACACCCCTTGCTGCAGCCTCATGGCTGCCCTCTGCCGCGTTTCAGCCTCCAAGCTGCGGACTGCAGAGCTTGAGATCTGCTATAGATTGAACTGGAGTTTTGCCAGGATCCTCTCCACCACTGGCACGATTGGAGACCCCATCACAGACGATTTTCCGGCCCTGTTTGCTGGTGGCTGAGCTTCAAACCACTTGTCCCGGCCCATGCCCGTCTCTCTTCCCATTCCAATCCCCTTGCCTGTCCTCCCACCCACCCCGCTCCCATTACTCCAACCCCCCGTCTTGAGGGGAAATCCGTTGGTGCCCCCCACCATTGCTGCTCGAAATGCTATTCCACCCTCCTGTATTTGTATCAAGGTGTGGCCCTGCTCCACAGCCCTTTGCCTGGCCCGAAACATCCCATCTTCTGTTGGCATCTTTCCCCCTGAACTTCTCCCCCCATGCGCGACCGTTGCCCTTCCATTTTCTCCTAACCGACCCGTTGGAAGTGTGCCTCCGCCTGGGGTCTGACAAGGATCGACGGACACCAGCCTGTTTGGTTGTTCGGCTGCACGGCGTCTGTCCCAACCCCCCCTGCGCCATCTGCCTGCGATTCTTTTGGTTGTTGTTCTCATTTGGCCCGTGTGGTGATGCAGTTCTTCCTTCTCAAAAATTTGCATTGCAAAGTGTACTAGCCTGGTGGCACACACCTTCTTTCCGTACAATTACTACTCCATGGATGTTGTAGCATGCACACGCCGTGCCGAGTGAAGACACAGGGACGGATGGCAGGGTGACGGACACGTGGCTCGAGGATCAGTACAGCCCCAGTCCCCCAGCTGGCCTTCCCACGACATGGGCCCCCTCAAGCCTCCGTCCCCCAATGCATCAGCGATGACTCGTCCCGAACTGTAGACCCCGGGACGCGTACCCCAACGGCATGGGCTCCTGGTTTTCCAGGGGCGCGCTGGCCTGGCGCCGCCAGCAGTCCGCCAGCATCCAGCGCTTCTCCCGCTCCTCCTGGTCGACCTGTAGCAAAGGGACCCCTTTGCCATGGGCTTGTCTGACATCTCCGGTGCATGACAAACCCGAGGCATAGGTGATGGTCGTCAAATAGGGACCCTGGCAGGCTCCACACATCCCACACCCGTACCCCACCGCGACGCAGCTCTGGCATGGGACCGTGAATACCCATCATTCTGCCCCACCTTGTGCGCCGCCAGCGCCGCCTCAGAGTCGGCTGCGAGGAGCGCCCGCTCCTCGATCCCCTTCTCAGCCGCAGACTGGAGGGCGCGGCACCGACGCTCTGTCGCCTGCGCCTCCCTCTCTGCCTGTATAGCCGCCCTCTGGGCCTCGGACAGGCCCTTGAAGGCCTGGGGGCTGGAGTCCTGGCCCAGCTCCTCTGTAAGCAGGGGGCACTGGCTGGCCGCCAGGAGCTCCTCCCTTTCCTCCCGCATGCGCTGCGCATCGGCCTCCAGCACCCTTGCTGCTCTGCTCCGCGCCTGACCCTGCCAGGCCTGGCTGAGGTGAAGGTCACGCGCCGCCTGGGCCGCATGTGCGGTCAGCGCTGCCGCCGCAGACCTGCTGGCAGCACCCAACAGGGCGCCCTCCTCCGCCCTGGGATCGTTGTGAGTTGCCAGGGAGGGGCCTGACCATGCTGTGACCCCTTGGAGTGTGCCATGGACCCTCCTGCTGATCTCCTCTCAGTTTCTCTTTCCGTACCATGCACATAAAGTGCCCTCTCAAGGAAACACGCCCACCATCACCTGGTGACTTGAAGGGCATGCTGAGCTGCAGCGCGTTTCTCTCGGAGTTGTAGGTCGAGGCCCTCTAAATCCACCTGCATTTTATGAGGAGGCTAAGACCGCATAGGCAATATGGTACTTGATCGCGCTGTTTCAAGGGGTGGGCCACTATTCGGAGGCTCACCCCGATCAGCCTCCTCTTCTCGTCCATGACGCGGGCCAGGCGGGCGGGGTCATCCGGAGGGATGATCTTCTTGCCCATAAGGATGGCAGTCCGAATATTAACTTAATTCGTCAGAGATCTGGGTATTTACAGCGCAGGAGTTGTCGAACTGCACGACCCTTGTTGCGGGCTGGGTGAATTGCGCCGCCAGCAGCGTTGATGAGGCAACTCACAACCCAGCTCCGTGAACCTTACCGACGTTGGTTTGGAGCGTGATCTCATATTATTTTTACCCGCTACAACCCTACCGCGAAGATCAAGGAGCGACTGAGCATCTGGTAGCGGCTGTCCGCCAAGTGCGGGCGCGTCGCTTCATGTGGTGGCCCGCATTTCGACTCTGTGAAGTCCCGCCGCCGCGACATTCCGCACTGCACAGTGCATGTTTCCAGGAGCCCAACAATCAGAGTCGCTACACGATCTTTGCACCTCAGGAGAAGACACTTGTATCTCGAAATGAACTGCGGCGGAGTGGGTGCAGACAAGCTTGTCTTGAGGACACTTCTGAGCAACACCACACGTGACCTGCCCTGCATTGTTTAGCCTCACAGGAGAGGCCGCGACGTGCCAGTACCGTCGACGTGCTTCTACGCATGTGAAGCGAAATTCAAATGGAATTCTATAGTAAGAATATTAGAAAGGCGAATGTCCATCTGTCGTGTGGACGCTAGGTACCCTATCCAACTATTTCATCAGCAGCTTCATCTCCTTCCTACTCCCACAGGCAACACCTCAAAACCCAGTGCCCTTTGCCTGTATTGGCAGAGTACAGATTCCCATGGGCAAATCTACGATGCTTTAGCCCAGGTCAATGCCAGTTCCCTGCTGAGAAGCTTGCATGCCATCCCAGCACAGTCCAGGCCAACTCATACTCACCCAAGTTCTCCTACGCTGAGCCCGTGACAAGTGGCTTTGTTATTTTGCTGCTGCTGAGCACGGACTAGATTACCATAAGCCTCTACAATGGCCTGTCTGCCAAACACTTGTCCTGATCAGTCTTGAGCATTGAGGACACACCCACACTCCTCAATCACTCCTCCGCAGGCTTGTCCTCAAGAAGACCCTTGATGAAGTCAAAAGGCTGCAAATGGGCACCGTGGGTTGTGTTGATGTAAAGCAGGCGATACGTGCTGGGAGATGGCAGGCCGTGGTGACAGCCTCTACCGGAAGACGTGTGCGCAGGCACCAACTGGACCTTGCAAACCATCATCTCTTCCAAGGTATGCTTATATCACCTGGACGAGCCAAAGGGCCCCGACGCCAGCTGTCGTGCCCCAAAGTGCCAGCGACTGCACTGCTCCCGGAGACGGTGTTAGCCGAGACACGGCAGACTGCATTGAGAGAAACGAGGGGATTATGCCGGGGCGATAGACAGAGTCTGTATAGCATGAGGTACTCCGTGGGCCAGCCACCCGCCTACCTTCACTCCTCCGAGCACCATTCTATAGGAATTCCGGTCGTTGCGCGGTCGTGTCTGCTTCTCGTCCCCGAAATGTAGCGACTCGGCCTCGAACCCGAAGACTGATTGGAACCTTTTGCGTGTCTGCCTGCAATGCGTTTATTTGGAGTTGTGTGAAAGCCTTCGTGGTGCCCCAGGGCATGCCAGTGTCTACGTCGCAGCACGATGCGCAGCATGCGGATGGGCTTATCAAACGAGGATGCTTCCAATAAGACGTGCCTTTTGAAAAGGACTCGATGGGGTTGATGATTGAATCACTCAGATGAACTGGAATTATCTAATAAAGTTGCCGCTGGTGGACTAGCCTTGCTGTCTTGATGTTGAAATTACCCACACCCTGACTCTGTAGGCACTTGCCTACATTGTCGCAAGGGCAACTCAACATCTCTACATGCTTCAGCAGACACATGAAGTTGTCAAGTGTGAACGGAGCAGTGGTAAGGCTTGGACTTGCACATGTTGAGGACTGCAGCAATCTAATTTGCAGGTGCACAGGAGGCTCTCAGGCTGACAAGTGGGAATGGGCACCACAGCTTTCAGCCAGGTTGCCGACGTCTGGATGGATATTGCATCGCATGCCGAACTCTCCCCATGCTTGAACAGGCTGGATGTCAAGCTCTGGGCGTGGCCTCTGAATGGCAAACCCATATAATACAGCCAGCCGCTCTCTTGTTGTTGGGAGCACAACTCCAGCTTCCCGAAGTGGCCTGTGCACATCGGCAGATACTTGACGACATGTTCGTTCTGCGAAGTGGTCGCAGGGTGGTGGAATGATTTCTCCAGCAGGCTGTAATTCGGTGGGCCTCATCCCTTGGAGCTGTGCCAGTCCTGAATTTTTAACCGCGAATGATGCAGCGAACGACCCCTTCACAGCCTCAGACTTCCAGCTGGTTGAGCTTGAGGAACTTACAAGAAGTATGGTAGATCCACAGCTCACACACTGCATTCATGGATACCAAGTAATGCTTAAGAAAAATCATAACCTGAAAGAATCTGCAAGGCGTGCAGTCGGAAATGGTCCAGGGTTTCAGTTCTGCTCCAAGGTCCTCTTGCTCGGGACCAGCACTGCCGCCGCAGCTGGCAGCTGGGGTTCCAAATCCCTGCCCTGCTGCAAACCCACTTCGGAAACGGGTTGGGGCAGGGCCGCCACGGAGGGGACGACGTCTGCCGCGACCGACGCAAGCACGCTCGGCCTGGAAACACAGTCCGGGGCGGGTGCGGAGCGGGGCAGGTGGTTTCGGTCGTAGAGCAGAGAGTTGGCCACGTACTCGTCCGTCTCGTCGTTCTTGCGGTCAGCATACTCCGCCCACCATCTGCGCGGGCCCGGGGGAGGGGGGTCGTGCAAGTCCGTGAGGGTCGACACTGGCCCTCGCACACACCAGAGCACCCTTACCTCCTCAGCGACTCCTCGTTTGCTTCCTTCTTGTTGTAGGTGCCGTAGATCGCTTGCATGACATGGGGTGGGCACCCACTCTGTGACAGGGGTACCCCTGTGGGGCTCGTCTCGGTCGCCATTCACGGTGGGCAGACGTGTCAATTGGGGGTGCGAGGTATGACGTGCCCACGTGTGATATGCAGTGTTATGTCTATTCTGCGTGCGTGGTGCAGCCTCTGTCTCGCAGTGGATGCTGTATGCTAGCTAACTTGGAAGCCAGCAGCGCGCCCGGAAGCTATCCGCCCCCCCCTCTCGCGCCAGATCACTTCCTCGCTCCCTCCTTGCATTGCCAGACCTCTCCACCGGCCGATCCCTCGAGTGACAACTGCATTTCTCAAAGAATGTAGCTAGCACTCTGTGCGTTTGCTCGGCCATTGGGCCCGTCGTGAGCCGCGTCGGTCCGGCTTCCTGTTACTCAGTCGTCAGCCACAGCCCGGCAGAGGCCCGGCAGGCCTTTGTCGAGGCCCCCTGCCAGCGCCTGGATGCGTTGAGCTTATGGACTGGTTGAAAGCGATGTGCTGACCCTAGACTGGCTATCGCAGAGTCCCTGCCATATTCCCCCTGCAGCCTCCATGCATTCGCCCTCCCTCTACGATGCACTTGGCGTGCCCGCCACCGCCAGCCTCAGCGAGATCCGGGCCGCCTACAAGGCTCTGGCCTTCAAGTGCCACCCGGACATCAACCCCTCCGCGGGGAAGGCCGGGCACCGCGAGTTTGTGGCGGCCACGGAGGCCTTCCAGATCCTGAGGGACGGGGCCAAGCGCGCGGAGTACGATCGCGTGCTCGCCTTCCAGCGGGCGACGGAGGCGCTGCAGGCAGGGAAGCCCTGGGACGCGTCCCACGGAGCGGGCCCCACCCCCTGGGGCTGGGAGGGGCCGCCCCGGCCTGCGGGTCGGGCCGCTCAGCGCGAACCCCTGGACGACGTGTTTGAGGACATCCTGCGCAGGATGGGGCAGCCTGGGTGCGCAATCGGTTGTTCTTATGCACCTGAGGGTAGGGAGGCGGGGTGCGGTCCGCAATTTGACCGTGCAAGGGGAGGCTGTGTGGGGGCTGGGCAGCCGAGCATCACAGGGCGATGGTCTGCCCCTTTGATGTGGGTGGTGATGTGGCCTGCACACGGGGATGGAGTGACGGAGTGACGGGGTGCACAGCTTGGTGCCGGGGCCCAGCTTGGTGCCGCCGTGATCCATCCACCACCAGAGTTGCATCCAATGCAACGATTTTGCTCTTCTATCGATGCCACCGACCCCAGTGTGCCCTCCCCTCCCTCCCCCTCCCAGGTACCGCGCCAGCGCCGAGGCCTCCGCGCGGCGGGGCCGCAGCGACGCCCAGCGGGCCGCGGCGGCGGCGGCGGCCTGGCAGGAGGAGAAGGCGGCGGCGGCGGGGGAGAAGGCGCGGACTGCGCGCCTGCGCGGGCGCATGGAGGCGGCGAGGGCCGCGCGGCACGCCCGCACGCTGCGCACGCTGTGGCAGACGCACGGCGGCGTGGCGCGCCAGGACGTGGCGGTTGCGGTGGCCTTCCTGGCGGGGAGCGTCGCGCTGGCGGTGCAGTGGAAGGCGTACCTGGCCGCGCCAGGGGAGCGCACCCCCTGACGCTGCGTGAGGGTGGTGACATGGCGCCGGGCGGTGCGCTGGACCGATGGGCGCTGCTCGGGTGGCCTGGACCAGGGGTTGACACACCACTGGTCCGGGCTGGGTGACAACGCCTTTGAGACCAAAGGCTGCGCCGCTCCCCCCAACACTATCCACTGCTCAGCACTGATCCCCACCCAGTTGTACCCCAGGGCCCTTCATTGTACATAGTCTACACTGCCGTGTTCTTTACGCGGCCATCGCCCTGGCACTCGCCCATGCCATGCATCCGCACCACCATTCAGTCAGGCCCTCATCCGATTGGAGAGCGCCGTCGCGAACAGAGTTGCAGCCATGGGGCAGTGACGAAAGCGAGGAACGCGCTGGCCTCAGGGCCCTCACGAGCGACGCCGAGGTGGGACAGTCAGAGCTGTGTCAGGATCTCCACGCCCTCGTGCGTTATGTGCAATGAGTGCTCGTACTGCGCCGACAGCCCGCCGTCCGTGGTCACGGCCGTCCAGCCGTCCTTCCAGTACCGCTCCTTGGCGCTGCCCTGGGTGAGCATGGGCTCGATGGTGAATGTCATCCCCGGGACCATCCTGCCGCCCTCCCGGTTCCTGCGATGGTTGGGGTTGTGGTAGAGCGTCATGGATGGATGCTCAGTGGTGCCCTGGGGAGGGCATGCGCCACCCCAACAGGGACCCTTTCCCGGGCACGACCAGAGGACAGCCTCCCTCCTATACCCCCCCCCCCTCCCTTCACAAACTCACTTGTAGTGCAGGATGGTGGGGTAAGAGTGGAAGACCTTGCCCACGCCGTGCCCGCAGAAGCCGCGGACCACGCCAAACCCATGCGCGTCGGCCACCGCCTGGATGGCGCCCCCCAAGGCCTTGAAGGGGACGCCCGGGCCGCACAAAGCGATGGCGGCGTGCAGCGCCTCGTGCGTCGCCTCGCACAGCGCCCGGGCCTCCGGCGCAACCTCTCCCACCGTGAACATGGCGGAGGTGTCGCCGTGGTAGCCCTGGGAGGTGAGGAGGGATGTGGAAAGGGGTTGAGCGTCGTGGATGTGGTCGGGGACGAGGAGGAGACTGTGGGCGGTGCTCGGCTGAGAGCATCACACCACATCCGCAACTATGGGCGCGAGGCGCAGGCCAGGATGCTTGCTGGCTCGGCAGGGCAGAACCAGCATTCAGACAGCACCTCGTACACTCCCACGCCCTCCCAGCCATCCTCACATCCAAGTACACGGTGACGTCGATGTTAAGGATGTCCCCTTCTTGCAGAGGTCGGGAGTCGGGGATGCCGTGGCAGATGCACTCGTTCACGGATGTGCACACACTCTTGGGGAATGTTCCTGCGGTGCAGAGGGCGGGAGTTCGCGATGGGTGGATGAGGGGGCCCAGCCAGATGGATGGGGGTCCCTGGGCCCAGTCGGAGCATGACCAAAACCACTCCGCTCATCACCAACCAGCTCCCAAAATGACATCCTCCAGGCCCCTCCTCACCGTAGCTGAGCGGAGAGGGGTACGCCCCTGCGGCAATGGTGGCCTCGTGCACTGCGGCATCGATCTCATCTGTTGTGACCCCGGGGGCCACCAGCGAGCCCGCCAGGCGCAGCACCCTCGCCGCCAGGTTGCAGGCCGCCCTCATCCGCACCAGGCCCTCTGCATCCTGGATCTGGGGCCGGCTGTCCCAGTCCGGAGTCCCGGACCGACTGACATACGGCGGCCGCACGATGTGGGGGGGAACGGGGCGTGGGGGGCTGACGGTGCCTGGGGCCAGGGGCGCCCGGCCCTTTAGGCCTGCCCCGTCATCCCTGCTGGCAGGAGGCGGGTGGGGTGGAGGGGCGGTTTGAGTTGTGGGGTCGAGTCCTGCGTTGCTGGAGGAGAAACTACAGATGCCCGGCTTTCTTCATCGGTGAAAGGGCTAATCACCCCTTCAGGCTGCAGGGTTCTCTGCACGCACCGTTCTGACAGGCGCAGGAGCTCAGCGAGGCCCTTGCGGGCCATGCAACTGGTGTGAAGGCATCTGCATGGACGATGGGCCGCCTTGAAGGGCGCTGCGATTCTGGGTCCTCCCTGCCGGAGCATGTGGCTCACAGCACGGCAGGACGTCGCAGACACCGACATCCTGAGCGCCAGGGGGTGTCAGCAGTCACACTCCTTTGTCTTGTAGTTTATTGAAGCACCTAATCGTATCGAAATACTCGTTATCTACAACGCTATCCCGCTCCCATGATGGGGACGACCGGATACTTACATTATGGGAGGATGGGGGTCTCGGATCCCGCGCCCTGCCTTGGGTTTAGCTGAGTGACGTCAGTTCGCAACACGTTTTTCTGGTATGATTGCAATTACCCAAATCCAGAATTGAATGGTCGTGAGTGCATGCGCAATAATCGGATAGTTTTGCGTTGAAGAGGCCGTCTTCATCCGAGACTCGGCCGAGTGACAGCTGACAGGATGGAGACCTTGCCACTCTTCCAGGTACGCGCGGGAACTGTGCGATTTGCTGGGAGCCCATTACCTATTGTCTCAATATCATATCATCAGCGAGATAGGAGAAAGCGTCGATGCTGGAGGTGTAAAGGGTGTCGGGCTCAAATCGTGGATGTAGATCACTGTCCATCTGACCTCTCCCCACCTCCTGCACATGCGCACAGGTGGATGCCTTCACGGATACCGCATTCAAGGGCAACTCTGCTGCGGTGGTCTTGCTCCCGGAGGAGGACGTGCCCTCGGATGCCGCCCTGCAAAGCATCGCAATGGAGAATAATCTGTCTGAGACAGCCTACATCAGACCCATCCCTCCCAGCAGTGATGTGACCACTGGGGACAACTTTGACCTCAGGTGGTTCACCCCCACCACCGAAGTCAAGCTGTGCGGGCACGCCACTCTCGCCTCTGCTGCTGCTCTCTGGAAATGTGAGTTGCAGCTTCGACCCTTTGTAGTCTTGGGATGTGGGTTGCTTTGGGTTGTATGGACTGGGTCGAACAATATGCTTTGTGGGGCCTCGCGCTGGGGTTGTTTGCTGGTGCGCAGGGCCCCTGGGAGACCTGGCTCATCTTTGACGGAACTGAGGAATGTAGCGTTGTCTGCGCCTGCGCTGCCGCTTAAAAGAATGTACCGTGCATTTCCTCGTCCATCGTCCCTGCAGGCCTGGGCAACACAGCCCCCAGGCTGCGCTTCCAGACGCTCAGCGGCGAGCTGTCAGTCGTGCAGGGACCCAGTGGTCGCATCTCCATGGACTTTCCCCTGAATCGTGCCGTGGCAGACGTCCCCCTGGGCACGGCCGCCGGCTCACGGCTGGTGAGGGCCGTGGCCGGAACCATCCCGGTGAGGGAGGTGCTGCACAACCCTGACATCAACAACTTGCTGATCGTGCTGGAGGGGGGTCGGGAGGAGCTGCTGAGCATCAGACCCAGGCCTGGCGAGCTGCTGGACGCCCATCCGGAGAAGCTCCTCGTGATTGTCACGGCAAAGGGTGAGGGTTTGGGTTGTCCTCTGTGTTGGCCCTTGTCAGCAGGGGACAGCGCCGACCATTTCCAGGCATGGAGCCCCTGAACCCCCCCCAACCCCGCCCATCATTGCAGGGGAGGGGGAGCACGACTTCTTCTACCGCTTCTTTGCGCCCTGGGCCGGCATCGACGAGGATCCGGTGACCGGGTCGGCCTGCACGGTGGCCGCGCCCTACTGGGCTGCTCGGCTGGGCAAGACGGAGCTCAGGGCCCGTCAGCTGTCCCAGCGCACAGGCGAGCTGTACGTGGGCGTGCGGGAGGATGCGGGCCGCGTCATTGTGGCGGGGGATGCTGTGGTGGTCATCTCCGGACAGCTGCACCTGCAATGAGGCCCTTGTGCCTTCCACGGAGGATGGATATGAGTTGAGCTGTGTAAGCGAATAAGCCAGTGCTTGCCCCGGTCCATGTCACTGATGCCAAATCTTTGCAAGGAGTCATTGGGCCTGGAATGGTCGTTGCACTCGTAACAAGTGCGGAATGACAGCTTGCGAGTTCGAAGCACTGTGGATTTTCCCCGAGCGCGCGTGATCGGCCAGACTGAGGTCGCATCGCCTTTTGCATGCCGCCGTTGTATCTCTGAAATCCAAATGCCCATGATTTTGATGCAACATTCGAAAAGAACAGAGTCAAGGGGGTGGGTGTTGAGACGCTGGAGTGGGTCTGAGACTGGCACTCCCGCGTGCTCCCTCCTCGACACCTCGATCCAAACTTCCAGGAGCTGACGCCCCGCAACGACTCCATGCCGAACGTGTTGGTGTACGAGGGCCCTGGGGCGGGGCCCCGATCGGTGCTCAGCGCCCTGGAGAGCCTCAGGCTCGCCCTCAAACCCAGCGTCCAGGTGGGTGAGCAGCTCACGGTGTGATCCCAACACACCAGGGGTATCCATCTGTGAAATCAGCCTGCATGTGACCAGATTCTTGAGTATGCCTCTGAAGGTCAGGAGCATGGCGTCCCAGGAGCTGCTGGCAGGGCGGTGGCGGCAGGACTGCCTGGCTCTGGTGATGCCGGGTGGAGCCGACACCCCTTACTGCCAGGTCCTGAATGGGCACGGCAACCAGCTGATCACAGGTGGGGCATATAGCTGGAATGAATACTTCTCTGCTGTCGCAGAAAGTTTATGGGGTTGTCTCAGCTGCATGCGTAGATGGAGATCGATCTGAGGGGCTCCCGCACTGATGCATGCCTGCTCCAGAGAAGCCATACACTCTCTCTGGAGAACATGGAGCCACCCTGCCTCTGAGTCCAAGGCCTGCTCTCATACACCCGTGCTGCATGCTGCTCTCCGCCCGTCCATTCACCCTTTCCACCCCATTGCGTAGGCTTCGTGGCCGAGCAGGGCGGCGCCTACCTCGGCCTGTGCGCGGGCGCCTACTACGCCTCGGCCCGCATCGAGTTCGAACCCGGCTCGTCCCTGGAGGTGGCAGGGCAGCGCGAGCTGGCTTTCTTCCCCGGCACGGCGCGCGGCAGCGTGGTGCCCGGCTTCGACTACCGCTCCGAGGCCGGGGCTGCCGCGGTCCCCCTCTCTGTGGCCGGCGAGGTCGCCACCGAGTGCCGCGACTACTCCAACGGCGGCCCGGCCTTCCACCCCGACGCGGGCGCCCTCCCGCCGGGCTGCCGCGCACTGGCGCGCTACGCCGACCTGGCGGGGACCCCCCTGGCGGCGCTGGCCTGCGCTGTGGGCGCCGGTCGCGCCGTGCTGTGCGGGACGCACCCGGAGCTGGCGCCGCACTGGCTGGGCCCGCCCGAGAGCGCGGCCGTGCCGGCGCAGGCGGGGGTCCCCCCGCTGACCGGCGGCGGCGACCAGGCGCGAGCGCTCCAGCTCCAGCGCGCCCTCGGGCGGCATGGCGCGGCGCGCTGGGACCTCTGGCTGCTGCTGCTAGAAGCTGCCGGCCTGGGCGCCTGGCTGGCCGTCCAGCAGGGCGGGCCACCACCCGAGGGCTGGGCGGAAGGCGGTCACATATGACGTCTCATGCAGGCAGCTGTGATCTTTGTAGTTTGGCCTGTGCACCAAGTCGCCTGCCGCCCTGGGCCGCTGCCGGCTTGCTTGCTTGAACATGCCGACCGTGGCCATACTGTGTGGGTGGCCTTCCAACACCAAGTTCTCTTTTACTCCTTACCAGCTGTTTACCTTGTCCCTGCTCCACTCTGTAACAACCTACTGAATCTTTTGGCATGTATTCATTGGATACATTCAGTGGCATGCGGGAGCGCCGCCAGCGAGGAGACTGCGGTGGGTGCCTGCCCCTGCACTCGGCAGCGTGTGCTTCAGGCTCAAGACGGGACGACCGGGGTGGCGGGTGCCTGTCCAGCGTTTCGCGCGCACACATTTCCAGAGCACTCGGCCATACAGCCTTGGCACATGGCATTCCCTCCCTGCACCTGCCCCTCCCACGCGCATCAGCTCCGCCGGCTGAGCACGCGGGCGGTGAGCTCCAGCAGGGCAGCGTGAGCAGCCCCTGCCTCCTCGCAGGCCGGCGGCGGCAGCCTGCCCAGCGCCTGCACCGCCAGGTCGGCGTGGTCTGCGGCCAGGCGCCGCGCGCGCGCCAGGCCGTCCCCTGCGGCCACGATGGCCAGCGCGGCGTCGACGTCGCCCGGCGCGGCAAAGCGCCGGCGTGCCAGCGCGCGCAGCGGCTCGCTGGCCTGCACCGCGTAGAGCACGGGCGCGGTGGCCAGGCCTGAGCGCAGGTCGTTCAGCGCGGGCTTGCCCAGCTCGTCGGCGGAGGCGGTGAAGTCCAGCACGTCGTCCACGAGCTGGAAGGCCAGGCCCAGCGCGCGGCCGTAGTCCCAGGCCGCCTGTGCGGCATCGGGGCCGGGCTCCGGCCCCAGCAGTGCGACGGAGCGCGCGGAGTTGGCCATGAGCGAGGCGGTCTTGCAGTAGGTCTTGCGCAGGTAGTGGTCCAGGCACAGCGCCTGCTCCGGGTCGGCGGTCAGCTGCAGGATCTCGCCCGCCACCAGGCTCTCCAGGCAGGCGCTCATCAGCTCGATCACGCGCGTGTCGCGCAGCGAGGCCAGCGACACCGACGCCCGCGCCAGCAGGAAGTCTCCCGCCAGGATGGCCACCTTGTTCCCGAACACGGCGTTGGCGGCCGACACGCCGCGCCGCGTCCCTGCCTCGTCGATCACGTCGTCGTGCAGGAGCGAGGCGATGTGGATGAGCTCCGTGATCTCCGCCAGGCGCTGCTGGCGACGGCGCGGCTCGCCGGGCGGGGCGCGCGCGGGGGACTCGTCCACCTCCAGCCGCGCGAGGTCTGGCGGCGCGGGGGCCAGCCGCGTCGCCAGGAGCAGGAGCACCGTGCTGCGCAGGCGCTTGCCGTCGGCGCCCAGGCGGAAGAAGTAGTCGGCCGCGGAGCCCAGGGCAGGGATGTCGGTGACGATGGAGCGGCGCATGCGCTCAGACACCACCCCCAGCTCCTCACGCACTAGGGCAAACGGGTCGGGGGGCGGGCTGGCCGCGGGGGAGGCGGCGGCGGGAGGTGCGGCGGCGGGGGAGGCAGCGGCGGGGGAGGCGGCGGGGCAGTCGACGGCCGGGGCGCTCGCCGCCAGCCCGCGCCAGCACGTCAGCTGGGCGGCGGCAGGCGGCTGGTGGGGGGGAAGGATGATGAGCGGGGGGTGAGCTTTGAGCCATCGGGTGATGGGCACTCTCTCGAGCCAAGGACACCGTACACCCCAGCCCCACCATGTGTGGGCCTCACCATGCCTGCGTGAGAGCTGCATGCTGATCGTCCAGCATCTGCGAGGGGTCGTCAGAGCTCCTGAATCTGTTGCAGCGTACTAGAGCCATGCCAAGCACCAACAATGGCGTGCATGCGAGGGGCAGCGCGTGAGCCTGTGTGTCACCTGCCGTCCAGCTCCAGGCGTGTCGGAAACAGGCCTGGCTAACCCGTCTCGCTTGCGCCTGAGCACACGCCATGTGCGCTGTGCAGGGATTATTCCTCCTCCCAGGACTGGAGAGGACTGCTGACTACGATGCTGCTCCCTTGCACAGCTCCTGCCGAGGGTGGCAGCGACAACCCTGGTCGTGCGTGGACCTGGGATCGACGGCCCAGACCTTAATTGGATTGTTTGGTGTGATATATGTGCCGAAATAATGGGCCAAGCGTGGTACCAAGGTGGGCTTGCACCGCTTGCCCCCCTCGCTCATTCGCATGGGTGATTGGCCGAGCGGTACCATCGGACCGGTGGTACCGGAATCAAAGCAGTCGCCCCCTGGGGCTCTCACAAGCCGCCCCGATGGCCCGGGACCTCCCTCTTTCAAGCACGTAACAGTTGCATCCCCACGGCGGAGTGCAGCTGATTACAGTGAGTATGGCGGGTGTGGCCAGGGAGCGGGCAGCAGGGCGTGCGGGGAGCGGCGGCACTGGCGAGCCCAGGGACTGACATCCAGGGCGGGACATGTGTCGGCCCAGCGGGGTTGCACAGATGCCTTGAATATACATCTGGACTTGTACCCAATTGGGACTGGCATTCCTGCACAGCCCGTGGCTGGCCTGTGCACTCCCGGGTGACACCACCCCGGTTCCGTTTCTGCCCCCGCAGACCATGGCTGACGCAGCACCAGCAGAGCGGGGCGGCTTCGAGCGCGGCTTCGGCGGTCGGGGTCGTGGAGGCGACCGCGGGCGCGGTGGCGACCGCGGGCGCGGCCGTGGCCGTGGGCGCCGCGACGATGGCGAGGAGAAGTGGACCCCCGTGACCAAGCTCGGCCGCCTGGTCCAGCAGGTACTGGGTTGTTACACTGATGCCGGCTCAGTGGTGATGTACATCAAGGGAACAGGGAAGCATGACAGCTGCTGCTCGCTGTTGCTCAGGCTGGTGGATGTCAGACGGCTGGCCTGGCATGTGGGCATTGCATGTGAGGACTGCCCGTGGCTGGTGAATCTCATCCTGCCATGCTGTTTCGCCACACTCCGATTGGTCGGTCTCCTTCTCCTCACCCAAGTCACACACGCCCTGCCTCGGACCCATGCAGGGCAAGATCAAGTCCCTGGAGCAGATCTTCCTGTTCTCCCTGCCCATCAAGGAGTATCAGATCGTGGACACCTTCCTGGGCTCCGCGCTGAAGGACGAGGTGATGAAGATCATGCCGGTGCAGAAGCAGACGCGCGCGGGGCAGCGCACGCGCTTCAAGGCCTTTGTGGTGGTGGGCGACTACAACGGGCATGTGGGGCTGGGCGTGAAGTGCGCCAAGGAGGTTGCCACCGCCATCCGCGGCGCCATCATCCTGGCCAAGATGGCCATCGTCCCCGTGCGCCGCGGCTACTGGGGCAACAAGATCGGGCCGGTGCACACCGTCCCCGGCAAGGTCACGGGCACCTGCGGCTCCGTGTCGGTGCGCCTGATCCCCGCGCCGCGCGGCGCGGGCATCGTGGCGGCACGCACGCCCAAGAAGGTGCTGCAGATGGCGGGCATCGTGGACTGCTACACCTCCTCCCGCGGCACCACCCGCACCCTGGGCAACACGGTGAAGGCCACCTACGCCGCGCTGGCCGCCACCTACGGCTTCCTCACCCCGGAGCTGTGGAAGGAGACCGTGTTCCAGAAGGGACCCTTCCAGGAGTTCACAGACTTCCTGGCCAAGCCCGTCATCAAGGGCCACTAGATGCTGCCACCCCCCCCCTGGCCGCATGTAACCGTGCACGGCAGGGCCAGGGGCATCAGAAGGGGAGGAAAGGAGGTCTGGTGTGGGGTATGAGGGAAAGGGAAGGGAGAAGGGAGAAGCCAGTGCATCACAAGAGATGGGGTATGCACCGTGTGAGGAGCCTCCCGCCGGCGGCATGTGAGCAGGAACCGAGCGTGCAACAATGGACCGAGACCGCTTGCCAAGAAGGCAAGCGCCGTGGAAGAGGTGCAGGGTGGTCTTGGAGGGCTTAGGTGAAACGTGAGAGCCGGGCATGAACCTCGTAATCCCTGGGCTCGCCCTCTTCACGTGGGGGCGCCAAGGTCCCAACGCGCCCACTCCCCCACTCGCTGGCTATAAGGGCAATCCCCGGTGCCGCGTGAGGCCCACACCCCAGCCCACCTCCCCGCGAAGTGTTCCATGCACACTCTATGGCTCTGACGAGACGCCGTGCGAAGACCAGCTGGAGCTATAACAAGAAGGTGGGTTGCTTCCGCGTCAGACTTTGACGCAACCCTCCTGACGCAACTTTCCATGGCAGCCCGAGATGAGCCGTCTCCGACAGAGACGGACCTCACCAAACTCTTCCTATTGCAAATGCAGTACCCGGCACTGGCCCGTTCCGAGGGCCTTTGAAAGAGCATCCGTGCGCTGGCGGTCACACCTCGACCCCTTCTTCCCCGCTGGGCCTGCAAGATGGCCCCGTTTCCCGCTTTGTATCTGTCCTCTGGACACCACATGCCATCAGTCAAGGCTCCGCCTTCGCACGTGTCCCTCGCTAGAGCTGCAGGGCGCCTGCCCAGGCCGCACCGTGGGCGTGTGGCGGTGCAGGCCGCCCCCCTCCAGGTGGATGATCATGGCTGGTTGGGTGTGGGCCACGAGTCAAGCTGAGGGTGTCAGCCTGAGTGACAGGGTGCATAGCATGTGCCCCCGCCTGCCCCTGGGTCTGCAGCGCTCCAGACTCCCGCAGAGAGTGCACCGCACGGCTCACACCCTCTCGCCATTTCGACCCTGTCGCTGCCCCACTCCTTTTCTCCCCGTAACGAAGCTGACCCCATCAGCTTCCCCCTTTTTCACTCGCAATCGCACACAGGCGACCGTGGCCGCCCCCCGCCCCGGCTTTGCCGACCTGATGGCCGCGTTCGAAGCCGCGCCCAACGACCGCGCGCGGTCGGCACTGCTGCTGGACGTCGCGCGGCGTGTGTCCCCACTGGACGCCGCGGACCGCACCGACGCCAACCGCGTGCTGGGCTGCACCGCCCAGGTCTGGCTGGCGTCGAGCGTGGAGCCGGGGACCGGCGCGCTGCGCCTGCGCGCCGGCGCCGACTCCGCGCTGCACGCCGGCCTTGCCAACGTGGTCCTCTCCGCGCTGGACGGCCTGGCCCCCGAGGCCGTGCTCGCCTTCGACGCCTCGGCCCTGGCCGCGCTGGGCGCGCGCTGGGGCTCGCTCACCGCCTCGCGCACCAATGGCCTGGCGGCGCTGCTGGGCGCGGCGCGCGCTGCGGCCTCGCGCGCGCTGGGTCACCCCGCCTTCCCCTCGCTGCTGGTGTCGGCGCGCGGCGTGGCCGCGCGCGGCGCCTACGCGGAGGCCCAGGCCGCCTACCTGGACCCGGCCCCGGAGGCGGTCCAGGCTCTGGCCGACGCGCTGGCCGCCTCGCGCGTCGGCGTGGTGGCTCACTTCTACATGGACCCGGAGGTGCAGGGCGTGCTGGCGGCCGCGGCGCGCGCCTGGCCCCATATCGCCATCTCCGACTCGCTGGTCATGGCCGACCGCGCGGTGGCCATGGCCCGCGCTGGCTGCCGGGCCGTGGCGGTGCTGGGCGTCGACTTCATGGCCGAGAACGTGCGCGCCATGCTGGACGAGGCCGGGCACCAGGATGTGCGCGTTCTGCGTATGGACGCCGGCGCCATCGGCTGCTCGCTGGCCGAGGCCGCGGAGGGCGCCGCCTACTCCGCCTTCCTGGCGCGCGCCGCCGCGCACCCCTCCCCTGCGCTGCACGTGGTTTACATCAACACCAGCCTGCGCACCAAGGCCCGCGCGCAGGCCGCCGTGCCCACGCTCACCTGCACCTCCTCCAACGTCGTGGCCTCGGTGCTGGGCGCCTTCGCCGCCGTTCCCGGCGTGCACGTCTGGTACGGCCCCGACGCCTACATGGGCCGAAACGTGCGCGCGCTGCTGGCCGTGCTGGCCGCGGGCCCGGACGAGGCGGTGCGCGCGGTGCATGCGCAGCACAGCGCGCGCAGCGTGGCCGACGCCCTGCCCCGCTTCCACTCCTTCCAGGACGGCATGTGCGTCGTCCACCACATGTTTGGCGCGGGGGTGTGCCAGCGCGTGGCAGCCGACTACGGCGACGCCTACCTGGCCGCGCACTTCGAGGTGCCGGGAGAGATGTTCGAGCTGGCGCTGGCCGCCTCGCGCCGCGGCGCGGGCGTGGTGGGGTCCACCTCCAACATCCTCGACTTCATCGTTGCCAAGTAGGCTGGGGCTGGGGCCTGGGGGCTTCAGGGGGGAGGAAGGACCCGGGTCAGGGCGTGGCAGCTCGGACCCGGCGCCGGGGTGCGCACGCCAGTGAGCTGCACCGGGCAGGAATCCGGTGGCCTCGGGCGCCTTCCACACGCTCAAAGCTGAGGTTGCCTTGCTTCTTTGTGGAGCCTGGAGCCCCACCCACGAGGGACCCCCCCATGTTCTGCATGTACACAAACAAACCTTCCACTCACCCTCCAGTCAACCACCACCTTCTCACTCCACAGGGTGCGCGAAGAGGCGGCCGCCGCCGAGCCGCGACCCAAGCTCCAGTTCGTGCTGGGCACCGAGACGGGCATGGTCACGGCCATCGTGCGCGCTGTGCGCGCTGAGCTGGAGCGCCTGCCCGGCCTGGGCGAGCTCCAGGTGGAGATCGTGTTCCCGGTCTCCCCTGATGCCATCACCACGCCGGAGCAGGAGCGGGGCGCGGGGTCAGCGTCCCTGGTAGGTTGGGGGAAGGGTGGGCGGGTGCCCTGGGAGAGGGGGAGGAAGGTGGGGAGTGCTCGTTGCAGGCTGCGTCGGAGGTCCTGGGGTCACGCAGTGCTGAGCGAGGCCATGCCCACCATCCCGCACGCGAGAAGCTAGGGATGGCATTTGCTCGCAGTTCCTTCACCCAAAGCGTAGATTATCCAGCTGGGATGCCTCGAACCCGCACAGTTCCCCCCCCCCCCCCACCCCAAACAATGCCTCGCCTGCTGCCGCAGACGCTGCCCGGGGGCGTGTCGCTGATCCCGGGCCCGGCGGGCGGGGAGGGCTGCTCCTCCTCTGGCGGCTGCGCCTCCTGCCCCTACATGAAGATGAACACGCTGAGCGCGCTCCTGGACGTCTGCTCCGCGCTGCGCGACCCGGCGCGTGAGGCGCAGCTGGCACGCCACGAGCCTGTGCCCTACACCGAGAAGGTGGCGGGGCGCAGCGTGGCCTCGCTGGGCTGCGAGACCATCCTGCACATGCGCGACTTCCAGAAGGAAGGCAGGCTGTCGGAGCGCCTGGTCGCGGACGTCCTGGCGCGCAAGCGCCGCGCCTGAGGGGTTCCGTTGGGGTGAGCCTGAAGAAGGCGGCGGGGCCTCCGCAGGGCCCTTTGGCTACCTGGCAAGCTGCCGCTGAAGAATCTGCCCTTCACTGTGACTGAATGTGTGCAAGCGTGTATTTGTGTGGACCTGCTTGATGACATGTAACCCTGCCATGTCCCGGTCGTGGCCGATTTTGGTAACCTAAAGGACTAGTCATTCCGGGTTCCGACCGGCTCCCCACCAAGTCGGGATCTTGTTGGAGCTCTGTTACCCAAACAATGAACGCATGATTGATCATAGGCATGGTAGTTTTCATATATAGGAAATCGATCCCCTGAATCATACATCTAAAAGATTAAAGGCTTCTTTGTAGTACCTCAGGGCCTGCCGAGAAGGAGTCCTGCACGGCAGTGCGTCGTGGCCGCGCAGTGGAGACCCTGCTGCCCTAAACTTCAAATCATGATAACAAACAATAAGATAAGGGCGCATCGCAGATGACGGCAGATAGCTCGGGGAAGCCTACGCCCGCTCTGGCGGAGCTGCAGGTGGAGTCTGCGCATGTAGCGTCAGTGCCTGGGTTTGCCTTGACAGAGCACTTTCAGGATGCCCCACCATGTCACTCGGGCGTATCGTCGCTGCATGAAACATTTGTAATGTACCCATGATGCAGGCTGACCTGTTGGCCCTGCAGTCCAGGGTGCCTGGCTTGAGATTGCAGCGCGCAACGAGGGGGACCAGCGACGACGCCCCCTTCCCCATCACCCTCTCTGCTGTCGTGACTGCGCCGCCCCAGGGGTCACAGTATGATGTGGACAGCATCAAGGTAATGCATTGAATTGGGCGAGGCTTCATGGCGATGTTTGCTGGGCATGGAGCAAGGAGTATGGGTTATGAAAATCGATGGGCACTGGATTCTGTGTGCTCATCACTACCTTGAACGCTGTGAGCGGCATGCACAGCCAGTGCCTCTGTTTACACCCAGCCTTCCTACCCCTGTAGGTCGTCGTCCGACTCCAGGCCCCCCTCCCTCGACCTGCTGTCAGCATCGAAGTGCACTCCCCTATCCTGCCGGAGCGGCTGCGCCGGGCGGTGGCGGAGGACGTGCTGGCGACATACCAAGTGGAGGCCGCCGCCCGTGCCGGCGACGCGGGCGGCCTCCACCTCGACCGCATCTGGGCCGACCTGCGTCGGCGCTGGGTGACCCTCATCTCCAGCTGCCCCGAGCTGCTGGAGGCATACACGAGCTCGGACGCCGACGGGCGTACGGTCCGGCGCTATGCATTCGTGGACGAGGAAGAAGTTCCGGCTGGGCATGGGTCTGCCACTGGAGCACCCGACGGCACAGGCGCTGAGCTGGGCGACCGAGCGAGAGAAGGTGCCTCGCTGGCGGCCGCGGCGGCCGGCCTGACTCTGGGGGAAGGCCGGGGCGCCGGCCCGGCCTCGCTGCCAGCAGCTTCCACCCAGCTTCCCGCCCAACTGGCGGCGGACGTGCGCTGGGCCGAGGTGCGGTACCGCGCCGCCTGCCAGGTGTTCTGGGGCCCGGGTGGGAGGCCGGGCCCCGGGCAGTGCAGGCCGCCCAGCGCGGGGCAGAGGAGCCTGCTGAGCATGCTGCTGGACCTGACCCCGGCGGACCCGGACTGGCCGGCGGGGGCCATGCTGCACCTGTCCCTCTCTGTCGAGGCGGCGGCTGGAGAGGATGGGCAGCCAAGTGTTCGGGTGTCAGGCCTGACCTGCTCCGGGAGCACCCACCTGACAGGTCTGGAAAGCACGGCGCTGCAGCGCCTGGTCCAGGCCCTCCTGCTCCAGGAGGGCGGCGCCAGGCTGCAGTCCGCGCTGCGCACGCTGGAGAACGGCGGGGGCGGCCTCCTGCGGAGCGCGCGCTGCATCGCCGCCGAGGTGGAGCGGCGCCGGGCTGCGGCGGGAGGCAAGGCGGATGGCGGCGCTGGGACCGCTGATCAGGCTGACAACCCCGGGGTGGTCGACTCCGCAGCAGGTTCGGATGACTCTCCCAGGGACTCGAGCAGGGAAGGGGGCGAGGGCAGCGGCTCCGATGTTGAGGGCGCCGAGGCGGGTGGCGGGCCAGGGCCAGGGAAGACGGGCGACAGGAGCAGCATGCAGGGCGGCAGGCCGGTGCTACTACGCCTGGGTGGGCTGCAGCTCGCGGGCTGCGACGCGCTGGAGGCCCTGACCCTGATCATGCAGGTGGGTGGCAGAGGGGCGGCAGTGAGGTCCTTGGGTGCTGAGGATCCTGGTGGTCCTCCCGGGCTCATTCTGAGGCCAGCGCTGGGCTTCCCTCCCCCTCTACTCCCGCCACCGCCCCTTGCCGCTGTCACTGAAGTTCCACCCAATCTGCTCCGGCTCGCAAGGTGGCCTGCGGCCGCTGCGGCGCCACGGCCACGCTGGCGCTGGCCCTGCAGGGCCGGGAGGGGGCCGATGCGGAAGAGGCGTGCCCCGGCTGCCACGCACGCCTGGCCCTGCACGCCTCGCCCCGCATCGTGCATGAGCACAGCAACGTGCTGTGCCGGCTGGACGCGACGCGGTGCGCGCCGCGAGACCTGTCGCTGGGCACCACGGTGCAGGGCCAGTGCGGGAACTGCACCGCACTATGCGCGCTGCGCGGGGTCCAGGTGGGCCAGTGGAACGCGCGCGCGTGCAGGGCCTGCCACTGCTCCGTCGGCTTCAAGGTGCGGGGGGTGCAAAGAAAGGGGTGGGGTGTGGGGTGTGGAGCTTTGATGGCTTGTGTGGGGACTGGCCAGCTTGGCGTGAGCTGGCAGGCCGCACACCGTGTTGGTGTAAGGCAACTCGTCCCAGGGCACAGTATCTGCAATGCAACCTCGAGCCGGTCAGCCTTCCCCCAGCCTGCATGCCCATCATTCCCAGTTCGACCAGCCGGAGTTTGAGGAGCAGGGGCCGCCTGGGCGGGATCCTGCCGCGCGGCGGAGGGAGGCGGCGGCGGCGGGGGGTGGGCCGAAGCGCAGCCGGGCGCCCGACCACATCCTGAAGGCCGGCCAGCCCCTGCCCAGCTTCGGCACCTGCCGCCACTACTGCCACTCCTACAGGTTGGGGGCAGAGGGGGGCAAAAACTGGCGATTCTGGCCTGTCACAAGGGTTGCAGACCTCCTCTTATACCTGTTTTGAAAACCCAGCGGCTCGCACCTGAGCCTCATGCATTTGACGTACACTCCCTGCCCACTGCTTGGCCCGTCATCCATTGTGCAAGCAAAGTTTGCCCCCCCCCTCCTCCCCCCCCCCCTCCTCTTTTTCCAGGTGGCTGCGCTTTCCCTGCTGCGGCGAACGCTACCCCTGCGACCTGTGTCACGAGGAGGGGGTGGCGGACGGACACCCCGTGGCCTGGGCCAAGCGCATGGTGTGCGGGTACTGTAGTGTGGAGCAGCCATGTGCCCCACGCTGCGCCAACTGCCTGAGGAAGCTGGCTGCCACCGGGCATAACCCCTCGGGAACCCACAGCCGCTTCTGGGAGGGCGGGAAGGGGGAGAGGGACCCCAGGAGGCTCGACAGGTGTGCTGGCGTGGGGTGGGGTGGGGGGGTGGCAAGTGGAACAGCGCGCAAAGAGGCGGTTTACTGATTGGTTGCCAGTTTGCCTCTCTGAGCATGTGCTGCATTGCCTTGGGACAATGGCAGGCCCTGCAGCCCACGATCACGCTTCAGTCCTGGACATTCAGTGACCGAAATCACCTATCACATACAGGCGGGATGCTCGGAAGTATCGCAACAGCAAGGCGAAGACTGCATCCCGTAAACACATGAGAACCGGTCAAAAGGCCGGAACCGCGACGTCATGAAGTTGCCGCCATTTATGGGTGTGTCGATGTATCCACTCTACACCGAGATGGAAACGAACCCAAGACTCTGACATGGGACAAAGATTGCTCACCAAGACATTCCTTGCCCATACGCATGAGTACATGTCATGCGCCCTGTGCGAAATGGGGCGACGAGGCACTCCAATTGACCCTGGGTGTAGATATTCTCCCAGCCCGGCCCGACTTTGACAATCCACGTACAAACTCTTATCAGCAGCAAAGCGGAGGGCATCTCAAACACTCCATACCCTCCTGTGCGATAACGGGTGTACTGGGTAGTCACCAGGACTGAGCTTGGGCGTCGCGACGCAGCCAAGGTGGGGACCGGGTGGCGAGGATTCGCTCGAGCCGGAGGTACCGAGTTACGGAGTTACGGAAGAGTTGGTGCAGCTATGCCGCGGCGCCCTGGAGAGCCACCCTGCTGCTATCGGGCTGTATATAATATTTTAAGTGTGGGTGTACTGATCATGGCAGGCATCACCTCCATCCCAGAACTTGTGCTGGGAAGCCGACGGGCCCATACCCCGTCCAAGCCCCTGATCGGCGTCCGGCTCTTTAATGCTTCTTTCTGAACTACCCATTATCCTTGCCATACCCCACTGGGGGCACGTGCAGAGACCTCCCCTCCCGTCGATGTCGGAGTGAGTGACGGGAACAGCTGTAGAACACCGTGGAAGAAGACCGTGCCAGCTGGCCCTCGCCCGGAATCTGCGCCGCCGTGCGCATGGCGAAGCAGGAAGCCAAAATATTCATCGGTGGTCTGAGCTGGGAGACGACAGGTGCAATGGTGCAGGGAGGGTGGGAGTGGTCAGGGACCCTGTCGTCTATGTACAGGTGCCCTGCCTGGCCTAGGTGCAGGATATGGCCCTGATGATGGGCACCCCGGCCACCCCGCTCTTTGCAATGGAAATTCACGACCGCGATTGTCTCTCAAAACCCACGAAGTAATCCAGCGTGGCGACGTGCCCGCCAATCCTGCTCCAATGCCCCATCTGTACGCCCCACTTTGCACAGATGAAAAGCTGCGTTACTACTTTGAGAACTTTGGCGTTGTGCAGGTGGGGTTTGCGGCAAAGAAGGTCTTGACAAATCGCTGGCTTGCTTTCACGGCGATAGAGTCACCAGGATCGTGCGATGCCCTGCCGCCGGGTTTCTGGAACGAGTCGTGCGGCGCTTTGCTTCACTCCATGCAACTTGCATGCCTGAGGCCAGCGCAGCTCCCCCCACCCCCCCTTCCACACGCGCACTGCCTCTCCCTTCCCTCATACAGGAGGCCTTTGTCTCGTACGACCGGCACACCGGCAGGCCCCGCGGCTTTGGCTTCGTGGTCTTCGCCGACCCCGCCGTGGCGGACCGCGTGGTGAGCCAGACCCACACCATCGACCGGCGCGAGGTGGAGGCCAAGAAGGCGCTGCCCAAGGAGGACTCCCCCGTGTCCAAAGAGGGCGCCGGGTCGAACCCCGCGGCCGCCAGCCCCGGGCCCGGCGCAGGCCCCGGCGCCGCGCCGGCGTTCTCTCCGCGCACCCGCAAGGTGTTTGTGGGCGGCCTGGCCGCCAGCGTGGACGAGGCCGCCTTCCGCGCCTTCTTCTCGACCTACGGTGCGGTGGAGGACGCGGTGGTCATGTACGACCACGAGAACCGGCGCCCACGCGGCTTCGGCTTCGTCACCTACGCCGACGAGGCCAGCGTGGACCGCCTGCTGGCCGACGGCCCGCTGCACGCCGTGCAGGGCAAGCCGGTGGAGGTGAAGCGCGCCGTCCCGCGCGACGCCATGCCGCCCAGCCCCCGGGGCGGCCCCTTCCGCGGCCCGCCTGCCGCGGCCGCCGCGGCCGCGCAGGACGCAGCCGCGGCCAGGGCTGCGCTGGAGCGCGGCGCTGGCTACGGCCTGGCCAGCGCCAGGGCCTACGCGGCGGCCGCGGCGGTGGCGGCCGCGGCGTCCGCCGGGCAGCTGGGGCCGTACCTGAGCGGGGGCGGCGCGGGCGGGCAGCCCGTCTCGCCCACGCCCTACGCCGCCGCTGCCTCATCCCTGTGAGTTGTCGCGCATGCTGTTGGAGCCTGGGGGGGAAGGAGGAGGGGGGGGGGCCTTCATGGGTCATTGGAGGAAGTCGTAACGTGCATGGGGTCGGAAGGATCAACAGTCTCAGCCCATTATGGGCTAAGGCTCCTTCCTCCGCCCGACTGTGCATCGACCCACCGGGGGGGGGGCTGTCTTGGAGGTCAGGCATATAAAAAGTGGAGTACTTGATTGATCACCAGTCCCCTCCCCAAATTCACTCACAGGCTGAGCCTGCCGCTGACGGGCGTGGGCGCGCCGCCCCACCCAGCCTCCTACGGCCTGCAGCCCGCGCTACCGCCCTCGCCCACGGGGCTTCCGTCCGAGGCGGCCATGCTGCACCAGCACCTGCTCATGCTGAGCGGGCGCCAGGACTCGGGGGGCAGTGACCTGATGGGCAGCCTGGGCAGCCTGCCCAGCCCGCTCAAGGCGGCCAACCCCGGCCCTGCCGGCAGGTGCACACCGCCCCCCATGGAGGCCCTGGGCGCGGCGCGGCCAGGTGGCCTGGGGGACCTGGCCAGCCTGCAGGCTCGCGTGGCCTCGCTGACGCGGCGCGTCCCGGCAGGGCCGTTGCGCGATGTGCACAGCGCGAGCCCCGGCCTGGGCGGGGGCGGGGGCGGGGGCGGGGGGGTTTGGCCAGCGCGGCCACAATCTGGAGCTGAGGCGCCGCCGCGGCGCGGCACGGAGGAAATGTACGTCTACGGTCTCTTTTTTGCAATAATCGCTTGGCACTCCCAGCCCCGCTGCAAACGCGGCAATAGCATAGGCGAGGACGGCTCGGGATCCCGGTTGCACATGCCCCCCCCCCCACCCTCGAATAGTATACGCCGAGCTCCGTCCACTCCCACGAGTCGCATGGTGCTGGGCCCCCCTGTTCCTTTGTCCCTAGTGACTGCTTTCATCCGGATAATAGTGCACACCTGTAACTGTATGCCTGCCACATGGTGTTCCATGGCTTCTTGAAGGGGATGGGAGGGGGAAAGTGCTCTATACGTAGCATGACGCGGAGGCCGGGAGGAAGAGATTGGGAGAGTACCGAAGATGGGTGGGTATGGTTCAAACAGCTGGGGAAGATACAGTGCCGACACAGGGGGGGTGCTCTCAGATCATGGCTACTTGCTCTCAAAGACATAACGGGACATGAGTGCGGGCCTAGTTCCAGCTGGCCAGCCGCGGGCGCTTGGCCCCGACCAGGGTCAGGCAGCGCCGCTGGTGCTGCTGCTGGCACTTGACAGCTGCCCAGGCCAGCTGGGGGGCGGGCTCATCCGCGTACGGATGCACGAACCCGGACGGCCGCTGCTTCAGGATGGGTTTGATGGGGGACGCCATGGCGAAGGGGGCGTGGCGGAAGGATGCCTCCAAGGCCAACTGCTCGGCCCAGTGGACCGACCCTGCGTCGTCGCGGGTGCTGGGGCTGACGCGGTTCAAGCTGCAGCCGGTTGCCGCGTCCTGAACGTGTGAGAGAGCGACAGGAGTTGAGGGTACTCCGTGATTTGGGACGCGGAAGTGTACAGCAGCAACGTGTCCCGTCCTCACCTCTGGGAGGCTCGACGCGGAAGACCTGTCTTTCAAAATGAGCGCCTGTCCGCCCACGGGCCAGGCCCGGAGACTGGAGCAAACCGCTCCAGACATCTTGAGAGTGGAAGACGCCAGTGTGGCTGGGATGAAGAGCTGACAGCTCTACCGTTTACCGTCAGGGTGGTGGGTAGTCTCTCGACGGTCAAGCTGGCAGTCTGCGGGCTGTGTCCGGGAGCGAGGCTGGGCGCCGCACAACCTGAAAAGAAGCACTCGCCTGCGGGGAATGTTCTTATGTCATAGTATGCTTCAGGCAACGTGCCGCCTGACAAATAAAGGGCGAGTTCCTCACACGTTCCGCTTCCCGCCATTTCTGACAGCGTGCCTTCTCCCCCATGCACTTGCCCGGAGTAGGGCCTGTGCTTTCATGCTGTGCACCCCCCGTGCCCGACATCGACTTCTAACATAGATTATGTTGCCTTGGATGCCTTGGATTACCTAATTATCCCCGCAATGGCCCGACATGCATGAGCCCTCCCAGCACGAACTGACCTGGGTCTGTTGCGATCCGTTGCCTGACTCACCGCCCTGGGCGGGGGGGCAGCAGGCAGTACCGGTTTGCCTTCTCATGCGATCAACCAGCCATGCGTAGACTCCTGTCTGGACTCCTGGTCCTGGGCGTGCTGGGCGGGGCAGTCCACGCGGAGACGGACTCCCCCCTGCTGAACATCACCGCCCTCATGCCCCCACATCCCACGCACGAAAACGACTCCTACATCTGCACCGTCGTGAAAGCCCCCGAGGAGGCTATGCACCTCGTCGGCTTCACGCCCGAGGCGCACCAGTCCACGGTGCACCACATGCTCCTGTTCGGTGAGTGGAGTGCTCCGAGCCGGGTGCGTCCCATGCAGGTGGCCCCTGCCGAGGTCCAGGACCCCTGGAGCTCCATGTCGGTTGCCACGAAGAGTAAAACACGATCACCTGGCCATCCCCATCCCTCCCCAGGCTGTAGAACCCCGGCCAGGACCGACCTCCCGGTCTGGGACTGCAAGATGAAGAAGGTGTGCGCCGTGGCCGACAACGAGAACGTGCTGTACGGCTGGGGCAAGAATGCGCCGGCGGTGACCCTGCCCGAGGGCACCGGCTTCGCGGTGGGCCCCGGCTCTGCCATCCGCTCCTTCGTCCTGCAGGTGCACTACCGCCTGCCCCGCCCCGCACATGACGCCTCGGGCCTGCGCATGCAGTTCAGCCGGCAGGCGACCCCGCGCAGCGCGGGCATGCTGGCCTACGCCGCGCGCTTTACCATCCCGCCGCGTCAGCACAGTCACCTGGTGCCCAACTCCTGCTGCTATTCCGGGTTCGAGCCCATGCGCGGCATCGCCGCGCGCGTCCACACCCACACCATGGGCAGGTGGGTGGTGTTGGGCATACCCACGTGTTTGTGCTCGTGTGTGGATGGGTTGCATCCTTGGGGTGTGGGAGGTGTGTGGGGAGCCGTGTTGGGGCATATGCAATGGCAGCGTGGTGGCACGGGCCAGCAGACCCCTTGGCAGAGTGCAGGCGCACCAGCCGGCCGCATGTCGTGACGCCACTCTGAGCGCTCGGGCGTCACACCATGACTGTGCGCCCACACACAAGTATCGCAGGAGTGTCTTCTTGGAGCGACGAGGCCCCGAGCCAGGCGCGGCGTGGAGCCAGGTCTTCAGCCAGGACCCGCAGCAGCCCCAGGGCTTCTACCCGCTCACCCAGAACTTGACCATCCTGCCGGGGGACTCTCTGCGTGCCACCTGCCTCTTCAACTCCAGCCAGGCGGTGTGTGGCATGGCGGGACTGAGGGAGGGCAGTGGTATGCAAGGGTCTTGTGGTCCATACGGTGCCCCGGTCCAGCCCCAGCCTTGGCTGGAGAGCGGCCCGACTCCCGCACTCTCTGCAAGGACAAGGTGCCAGGCCGCCACCCTCACGTTGACAAAGAGAATCACCTCCCCCTCCCCCCTCCCTCACAACACAGTCCGCCCCCGTCTCCGCGGGGCACGGATCCGAGAACGAGATGTGCAACCTCTACCTGCTGGTCGACGCGCACGTGCCCGCCTTCCAGTGGTGCGCCGACAGCTCCAGCTACGTCGCGGCCTCTCCCCCCGGCGCGCTCCCCGTCGGCGCGGAGGCGGTGGCCGAGGAGGCACACTGGCGCCCGCCCGCCGACGTGGGCCAGGGCGCCGGCGTGGCGGCCGACGGGCGCGGGCGCGTGTACGCCTTTGGCCGCGTGGGGCGCGTCTGGGACGCCGACGCCTTCGATCCCGCCACGCACCTGCTGCGGAGGGGCGACGTGCCTATCCCCGGAGCCCCCCTGGCCATCCTGGACGCCGACTCCGGCGCAGCGTCAGCCCCCGGCTGGGGCGCCGGCGCCTTCCTCATGCCGCACGGCGCCAGCCTGGCGCCGGACGGCACGCTGTGGCTCACCGACGTCGGCGCGCACCAGGCGCTACAGTTCACGCCGGAGGGCGCGCGGCTGGGCGCGCTGGGCGAGCGCGGCGTGCCGGGCGACGGCACCGGCGCGGCGCTGTGCCAGCCCACGCACGTCGCCGTTTCGCGCGACGGCACCGTCTACGTCACCGACGGCTACTGCGCGGCGCGCGTCGCCGTGTTCAGCAAGTCCGGCGCGTTCCTGCGCTCGCTGGCGCTGCCGGCGCCGGCGCGCCTGCGCGTCCCGCACTCGCTGGTGCTGGACGAGTGCTCCGGCGCCGTGCACGTCGCCGACCGCGAGGCCGGCGCGGTGCACGCGCTGGATGCGCTGAGCGGCGCCCTGCGCGGCACGTGGAGCACGCGGCAGTACGGCCTGCCCTACGCGCTGGCGCTGGGGCCCTACGGCGCCGTGCACGTCCTGGCCTGGGACCGCGAGGGCCCCGGCGCCGCCACCTGGCTGCTGGCGCTGGCAGCCGCTCCGGGGCGCGTCGCCGCCGCCTGGCGCCTGCCGGGCCTGCGCGCGCCGCATGACTTTGCGCTGCTCCCGCTCCCGCTCGCGGTCACGCTGCCGGGGGAGCGCAGCCTGGGCGTCGTGGTCGTCGAGGCCGCGGCGGAGGGCTCCCGCCTGGTCAAGTTTGCCTTCCGCGCCGCGCCGGACAACGGCACGGAGCCTGTGGTTCACGACGCCCGGCCCCTGCCCACTGCGCTCGAGGTGGCCAGCCACTCCGGCGCCGCCGCGGGCCACGCCCAGGGCACCGACGCCGACGGCATGATCATCATCCCCCTGGCCGTCGCCCAGCCGCCTGTCCGGGGCGCAAATGGCACGGCGGGCGCGGATCCTTCTGAGCGACGCCGCGACAACCCCTTTCTGAAGAGGTCTGAGCCGCAGCGCGACGGCATCGTGCTGCTCCCCGACCAGGCCGCAGCGGGCGTGGACAAGCCGGTGATGGTGACGGCACAGGCGGCACGTGACCGGGGTGGCTTCGAGGCGGATGCCGAAGAGCAGGGGGCAGAGGTGGCGGATGCCAAAACCCAAGCCGCAGGCGTTGACCCAGTGGCCTTGGCGCACAGCACAACTGGAGCCCAGAGGGCGGCGTCGTGGCTCGCCCTACCGCCCGCTCCAGCCCTGGGCGGCGGCAGCCTGCTGGCCTTCATCGCCGGGGCCTCTATTGCAGTGGTGGGGGTGCTGGGCTGGCAGTCGGGGTGCTGGGGCGCCGCCTTCCGCCGGCGATCGTCCTCCCCACGCCGCTACGTCGCCGTATAGGCCTGAAATTTTTTTTGTGCAGGCCCACTGTGTATTCTACTCTCCCCACTCCTCTGTGCCCTGTTCCCCATTTTCCCAAGCTTGCACCCATTGTCGCCATGGTCCGTGAGTGTATTGACGCATTGCATTCAGCGGTAGCAGGGGGCACGCCGTTCCGCAGCCACCCGGTGTCGTTGCACCTGGACAGCGATGCGGGAATGGCCAGAAGAAGAGAAGGGGTGAAGTGTGTGGGCCGGTTGCCGAAACAGTACTGTGAAGGGGGAGCGGGGGTCAAGGGCCAGACTTGATTGAGGAGGACACACAAGGGGATGCGACGGGGGGGGGGTGACACGGGTTAAGGAAGGGAAAAAAGGACCTGACAAAAGAGGACATGGATCTGGGTACAGCCTATGCAAAGGTAGCGGGAAAGGGTGCTGTAATGGGTCCTGTAGAGCACGAGAGGAGCAGCAGACGGTGCGCACGAGAGGCTCTCAGCCTGCATGAGAAAACACTATGCCTGCACCGGGACGGCCGCGGGGCCGGCACCCAGCGCCAACCCTCCTTCGGGAGCCGGCGCCGCGCCGTCCAGCTGCGCCAGCATGCGCCGCGCGTCCTTGAGCGAGTGCCACGCGTTCAGGTCCTCCGCCTCGCAGGCCAGAGCGGCGCGAAGGTGGCCCTGTGCCTCCTCCCGCCGCCCCAGGTCCAGCAGCACGCGCCCGCACTCCACGCGGTGGATCAGGCGGCCCGGGCGCAGCGCCGCCGCACGCAGGTAGGCCTCCAGCGCGGCCTCGCGGCTGCCGGCCACCAGCGCCGAGCCGTAGGCCATGCGCCCCAGCGCGCGCAGCGTGGGGTTCACCCGCGCCATCTCGTAGTGCCAGCGCCCCAGCAGGTGGTGAGCGTGGTCGTTGTCAGGGTCGGCGGCCAGCGCCGCGCCCGCCGCCGCCTGCGCGGCGGCCGCCAGGCCCACCTTCTGCCGCGCGCCGGGGGCCAGCGCGGCCAGCCGCCCCGCCGCGATGGAGCCCAGCACATGCGCGTGGGCGCACCCCGGCGCCATGGCCAGCGCGGCGGCCGTCAGCTCCGCGGAGCGGGAGTTGGCGGCGCGGCGCGCCTCGCCGTCCTCCGCGGCCAGCGCCAGCGACAGGTCTGTCCACTGCTTGGCCGCCAGGCAGTGCAGCGCCAGGGAGTCGGGCTCCAGCCGCAGCGCCTCCTGCAGCGATGGTGAAGTTGTGATGGGGTAAGGGTGTGTGTGGGGGGGGTGGAGATCGTGATGTCGGACAGGGAGGCTGACAGTGCGAAAAGGGTGCGAGACTCCACCACCTTGTCCTGATCGAGCAGGGTGCAGCGACATTGGAAAAGCACCCAACCCACGACATGAGCATCCGCGCCACCGCCCCGCACCTCAAAGCACTCCACGGCGAGCTGGACGTTGTACTGCCTCTCGGCGGCGAGGCCGGCCTGCACCAGGCGCTCAACCTCCGGGGTCGCGGAGGTGGGCCCTCGGGCCCTCGGCCCCACAGCAGGGCTCGCGATCCCGGGCTCCAGACCCCGGGGCCGGCGCTGCTGCCACAGCCGGCCGCCCCGGCTGAGCACCCTGCGCGAGGCCGCGCCGGCGTGCTGCTGCCAGGCCGCCGTCAGCTGCCGCGCCAGCTGGCCGGAGGCGGACTTGGACTGCTGGGAGGCCTGCACCAGGGCCATGACCAGGGCTGCCCGGAGGCCGGCCAGGGTGTGCGTCACGCGGCTGCCGAGGCCCGACAGGGGGCGACTGTTTCGAGGCACAAACTGTCCACCGAAGCGAGAGAACTTGGGGCGAGGGGGAGGGTGCAGCAGGCGGGGGCGAGCGGGGGAGGCCCGCGGGGGGAAGCTGGGGCTCCGACAGGCAGCCTCTGACAGGGAGGCCAGGCAGGGCACTTCCGGCCTGTCCTCGGGGCTGGGCTCCCATTCGAACATCAGGTCATTGAACTTCATTGTGGACACTTCGGTGCATGTGATTTGACCCGCGTGAATAGCGCGAGTCATGGGGTGTGGCCTTGGTGGCAACACTGGCTTCCCACTGCCGCTAGGTCCGGCGAGGAGGCAAGCAACCGAATATTCGACGGCTCTGGACGCGGTGAATCTTGTGAGCAAGTGAAAAGAGTACTGGGGCCAGCGATGTCCGAGCAGAGGCTGCTTGCCCAGCTTTGTGACGCGCTGGATACCTAGGGTGGGTATCGGACAGGAACCCATGGCCAGCGCGGCCTGGAAGGTGGCACAGATCTGCCGGGAGTTGGGAAGAATTTGAATCCCGATCTCGCGAGAGTGGAAATGGATTGACGCAGACTCTGCGAAATATGTGGCAGGATATTGCGGAAATTGTGGTCGTTCATTCTAGAGTACTTGTAGCTTGCACGCGGCAGCAGCTGCTCTGCTGGTGAAGGCCATCAGCTCGCTCCATGTCCCCATGGCTGCCTAGATTCTCTAAGTGGCCCTTGCAAGTAAGAAGCGAGCTCCGTGGCTTCATTGTTAATGTAGAGAGCGATTATCGAGAGTCTGCTCCTACTCATATCGACATGAATCTAATTGTCAGCCCCATCCGCAGGGGTTGCATAGGTTTTGCCCCAACAGGGCTGGAGCAAATGCAGCCTGGTATTCCTCACAGGTTCTCCCTACCCTCACAAGCCGCCAAGCGTCCTGCACTGCATGTGGTGGTGGGATCTGCGAACCAGCACAACAGTAGTGCCTTCCCCTACACAGGAAATGTATGAAGGGAGCTGCAACACAACCAAGAAGCAACCGCGCTGGCTCCCGATACCTTGTCGAAACATGTTTTCAATACAGACGATCTTCGGACTCTCTCCGAGTAGACATTAGGAGCTCCTTGGAGCAGTGCAACTGGCCCGATCTATTGAGCGACTTTTCCGGTCACATGTGTTCACATGAGCGCAAACGGTGGCGGGAAATTTCTTCACCGGCGCTCTCGCACAGTCCCATGACCCCAACTGCATGTGCACTCATGGGCACGAGCGACTACCTGAACGCGTGCACGCGCCGGAATGCCAACGTGTATACCTTTTTCAAGCTTATACAGGCTCGTTCCCGATGCCGTGCCCTGCTTGACCCTTCCAGCATTCATTGCTGCACATGCACGCCATGCAATCTCCTGCGGGCTCGCGAAAGGTGTTCCTGCTGCTGGTCGTCGTCTGCACGGCTGCAGGTGAGCATATTGAGGCTCAACGTGCAGGCTCATCATTGCTGCTCGTTGTGTGGTGTGCTTGTATTGGAGCCCGAGGCCCCTCGACCCATTCGCCGCGCACATGCTCGCAGGCATCCATGCCCGCACTCCCCGCGCGCTCCTGGACTCGAGCTCCTCGGACTCCGTAGCTACCATTTATAAGGATGGTCTTCAGTCAGGTGGGTGCTCGAGCAGTGACCTATGTCGGGATGCGATGAGCTCCCATGCTTGCCAGGCCCGTGCCATGGTGGTTGCCGATCGGTTGAGGGGCCTGTCATGGGGCCGTGGACGTCGAGCAGGCGAGAATCAGGCGGAATGTCGATTCACCCTGTGCGCCATTCAGGGCTTCTCCCTCGTACTCATGAGTCATGCTCTTGACACTCTTTGCAGGCTGGGGCAGTTGGAGCTGGGGAACGAAAACGCTCAACCTCCAGGACTCTGGGAACGTGATGAGCGGCAGCAAGTATGCCCTGTGCGCCACGGTGAGCAGGGCATGCATGGATGGCAGGGACACAGTCATGTGCAGTGCCTTGGCTGAGCGTGGGGCAGAGCGTCCAGGGCATGCATGACATACGTTCATGTATCTTTTCTCAAGAGCTTCCATGATGTCAATTGACATCCACTGTCAATTGCCTGCCCCCTCATCCACTCAAACCCCTCTTTCACCACGCTCCCAACAGCTGGCTCCCTACGGCGCAGTGTCCTTGAAGTCCAACATCCCCTTCACCCTGGACGGCATCCTGGGCCTCTACATCCACAGCACCGGCGGCGCCACCACCTCCTCCAACACCAGCTTCTCCCTGGGCGACCTGGAGCTGCAGTTCGAGTCCAGCGCCCCCTCCTCCTACACCATCTCCCGCTCCTACACCCTGTCCGAGCTGCTCAACCGCCAGGGATGGATTGACGGCAAGAGCCCGGACACCATGCTGCACAACATCGAGAGCAACGGCTGGGAGTCGCTCAAGGTGCAGATGGGCGGCTTCGCGCCCAGCGGCACCGACTCCGCCAAGTACGACCGCATCACGCTTGGCTCCTGCCTCCAGCGCTTCGACCTGTGCACAGGGAAGACCGTGCCTGACATCTACCTCTGTCTGGACAAGCTGGTGATGGTGTCGGGAGGGTGATGCAGCCGGCAGCTGGAAGGAAGCAGGAGGTTGGGCAGCCCAGTGGGCGTCGGTGCCCTTGGCCGTGCCTGGCGGTTAGGGCCAAGGCTTGGGCGCTTCAATCTATGGAGCATTGTTTGCTGGTATCCAGGGCCTGCCCGGCCAGTACGCAGCATGCACTGGTCCGTGCAAGCTCGCCATGGCCGACGACGCTCCTGCCATTCCCCCTCCATCACTCGCCATGCCTCCACAGCAACCCACAATGGGGGTGGCCGCGGCCCGATGCTCCTCCTCCCAATTCCCCAGCCTGCGCCCACCCAGATGCCCGCCCCACACTCCCCCGATGAGCGTCCACTTGAGGAAAGTGAGACTGATGCCCCAGCCCCGACTGCCGGTCCGTGAACAACCGACCCGTGACGATACACACGCCCTGAAACTGGTCCAGTACTGTTACCCCTCCTCCCCCTCACCTCGCCCGCTTTGCCCTTCACGCCACCTCCCTTGCGCACGTGACAGACCGTCCTGCAAAGCTCCACTCTAGCGCCTGTGTGATCCCCCTCTCCCCTCATGCCAATGTAACGACCACGTAGAAAGGCGAGGAGGGAGCAGGGGGGTTCAGCACAGAACGACGGGAAGGTGCTGCCGGGGGCAGGTGCTGAGAGGGTGACTGGAACAGGGCACCACCAATACATGACATTGCCTCTGCCCAGGTAGCTCAACCCCTGGCAATGGCCCTCCAGCCGATGTCGCGCCGGCAGAAGCCGTCGGGGAAGCTGATCGCGTCCACTGCTGAGTAGGCGGCGCGCTGGGCAGACTGCACATCGTCGCCCAGCGCCGTCACGCCCAGCACCCGCCCCCCCGCAGAAACCTGCAGCATGGGTGGCGGGGTCGAGGGAGGCAGGCGTGGCTGCGCTTGGGATGCACTGTTTGAGCTCGACCCCTGCAATCATCCCGAGGCATCCCAGGGCAGCATGCAAAGGTCATCCATAGCCATGCCATCGTCCCACCCAGGCACCAGTCCCTGGCAGACACCGACTCCAGACTGCTGGTATCTCCCACCACGACAGCGACACCCCTGGGCACCCACCACTCGTCTGTCCTCCAGCAGCCGCGTGCCGGCATGGAACACCTTGGCCCCGGTCACGCTCTCCAAGCCCATGATGGGCTGGTCCTTGCGGTAGGACCCCGGGTACCCCTTGGCCGCCATGACCACCGTCAGGCTGGGGCGGAGGGGCGGGAGAATGGAGGGAGCTGGGCGGTGCTGGCAGTCGTGGCTCTGGGGAAGCTGTGTCCGGTCGTGCAGCAATGGGGTGCCAGACCATCGCACTTCCTGTCCCCAGGCGCGCCGCCTCGGCCTCGCTCCCTTCCACCGCACGCGCAGAAGCTCCCGGCCCCGCCCCACAGCCCTTGGCCAGTGCACCGAGCACACGCTCACCTGGGGCGTGGATCCCAGTCGAGGGTGATGGGCTCCCCCTGGATCACGGAGTGCAGCGTGGAGAGCAGGTCGGAGCGCAGGCGCACCATCAGCGACTGGCACTCCGGGTCACCGAAGCGCACGTTGTGCTCCAGCAGCTTCACCTGCGACCCCTCGATCATGAACCCGGCGAAGAGCACGCCGCGGAAGGGGCGGCCCTGCATGAGTGTGTGTGTGGGTGGGGGGGGGGGCGGCGCGTGGGGGGCA